GGGGGGCAATGTCGGATTGATTGCAATAAATACTACCCCAGTCTAGTCCGCAACAGTAAAGAACAAAGAAATTGAACAATTAAGCTTTCTCAGTAATGTTTTAAAGGGGTTTTGCTGAGAAAACTTAATTGTTTAAAAGGGGCTTATGAACTTTTGGATCCAAAATTATGTGTAACCTTCCTGGAATAAAGATTCATGTATTATCAGTGACATCAATAGACACACCCCAAGATGGTGGCTGCAGCCATATTTTATGTCAGATGGCGGGTGACACAGGGTCCAAATGTAATACATTGTACTCACGCAGTAGAAGACAACGGTTTCTCGTGGTATTATGGTTGGCCGCATTATTTCCAAAGACATGGAAAAATCAGATGCTGCCTCCTTAAATGGTACAAATCTGGACGCTTTTGACGCGTTCGACTCGACGTAAATTGCCGATCAAACGCAAAACCCATTCTTCTTGCTGCCAATTGCGACCCCATTACGGGAACAAGGGGCAAGTGCCGGAGAATTATGTTCAATTAAAGTAGCCCATAATTCTTGGTGAACGCGTTAAGTTCAGGGCAACCTACTTTGAATCATGACCTGAGCTTCAGAATCTTACACCTCACTTTGTATGTCACGTCGCTATACCCTTAAGTCATGCCTTTTGTTAAAAGTTCATGACAACGAACGCACATCATGGATTTCAGTGTTTAACATTCCTTCTATCTTTTACAGTCCTTCGTCATAGTTTTTGGTGAACGTGTCGCATTTCAGGTAAATTAAAGCATGGGTTACACCCCGGGTTTCGTAGAGCCTCGACCTTCTTGTCGGCATACCCCTTTGTCATAATACTTGTTAAAAGTTCAGTTCAACTAAATTACACAATGGGTCTCAGCCTGTGTTTCAAAGTTTTAAAAATGGATAGTGTCCTTCATGTTGGAACGCTCTCGTCTCGTTTGAAGACTGGTGAAATTTTCTATTTTGAAACTGTATTGTGTAATATATAAAGCATATGGCATCACAAAAACAAATCCGTCACAAAATACACGCTCACGCACTTGCTTTATAAGAAAATATGCCATGCACAGAGCGATTTGAATTCTACATACGCTGAGTAGTTACGTGAGAAAATATATATTTGAACTACAGCGGCAAAGTTTCTTATCTGTTTCTGTCAAATATTTCATGGAAGAAATCATATGCCCCAAAGTTTTTTTTCCTTATAAATATCTATTTGAGTTGGGCTGGGGAGAAATCAGAAAAATCCCGTCCCAGTCATATTGTTCTCTGCTCACTTCATCACACTAATGATAAGGGAACGTTCAGATAAACCCATGCTACTAGCTGGATCGATTCAACTCACGGGAGATTCTCCCCGAATGCAATCATTGTAATTAGCTTAAATGTCTGACACGCCTCCTTCAGCTGCTAGCGGGTAATAAAGCCGAACGCGCACCAAAGTTAACTACCCCTAGCCACCAAGGAGGCGTGTCAGACAATTAAGCTGATTACATTGAATGCAATTAAGCGAGAATTCCCAGCGGAGTTGGATCGATCCAGCTGGTGCTATGTTTGAATCTGAAAACGGTCTAAGCTGCAGAATGTGGCCCCTACGCGTATAGAGTCAAATCACAGAAAAAAGGGACGGTGGAATAGCTATATAGGCTTTTCATTGTCTCTGGTATAAAGATAACATTAAAAAATAATAAATCGGTCTTTAGGAGACTAAACGTGTTTTACTTGGGAGGTTTGACGTTTCCATCTTTGAGGTAATTTTGTTTGTTTTAAAACGGCTAACTAATTTTATCAAGAATAAGAGAGAGCTATACCTTGGGTCAAAGACAACTCGCATGTAGCGAAGGAACTGCTGGGTTTATTGTTATTTTAATATTAAAATATTCTTACTACGAACGGCCTTAAGGCTGAGATGGGATGTAGAGAGTGTTACAATGAGGCTATGGAATGCAGGTTAACCTCCTTCACTTGATATATAATGGTCAAAACAAATAGTGCGCCTCATCTTTGCCCTATCCTCTGATATTTCAGGGGCTTCTAAAATAGTACATAAAATTGAAGACTGTCATACAATTATTTTGTAACAGACTACTAGTGGACCCTACGGTCAGAGAGTACACTGGGTCTAGGTAACCATTTCAACTTCCGTGTCCATACATGTACAATTATATCGACATTGGGATAAGGAAATCTAAAGTATACATAAGCTAACTACTTAGGACGAAAAATAATACATCGGTTGGGACAAAATTGGCAAAATGGTTTGCCTGTTATTTTGTCAAATTATTTATAGAGTAAATTGAGTTTTGACTGTGTTTTGGTCATTATTTATTACTTAAGGTAACCTGAAAAAAGGGAGAGGGGAATTTAAAGCACTAGCGATGCGAATAACCAAAACCATACCCACAGGAAATATAACTCACCTAAAGGCGCCCATCCACCAAGGTTTTCTATCATTTTCTCAGCGGGTTCTTTTCCAAGTTTATCTATCGCCTCCGTGTCCATACAACTCTGATAAAACTGCTTAAATTTTCTCTCCGATGATAACTCGCCGTCTCTCATAATCGGCGTTTCTAGCATGGTTTTAAGGGTACTTTTGATGGTCTCTCCCATGGTGCTGTCTATCCCCCAGTAGCGTTGGTCCGCCGGAATTGGGTTCTTTTTCAGCCATCCCCCGCAGGAGAACTGCCAAAAATCTTGACAGGGATCGACGCTGGGATCTAGTCCAGAGACGAGGACATTGGCCGCCCTTATACATTCCGGGGTTAGACACGTTTGGGAAAGCGTGTCCGGGGATGGAGTAGTCCCCACCCTTGCGTCTGTATTCCCTCCTTCGTTGATCCTCTCGTTCACTGCGCCTCCAATGCGAGCAATTCCTGCAACTTCTAGAGATAGTATAACAATGAGTCCCAGAATCACCACTCCAGCCAAACATAACGCAAAAATGAAGTGTTTTCGTTGTCTCCGCCACTTTCTAGGATTTGCATTATATTCTTCTATCACCAACTCCGCCTTGCTACCAAACGCCATTGCGTATGTAGGACTAAGTTGTTCTACCGTGGTAAGGTACGTATGTATTCACGTGGGGCCAGTCTTGCTTCTTGGCTTTTATCATTATATGGCCACATTCACACGCCATCCGTTCGGATCAGTCCTCACTCAACTTAAAGGGTTACCTTTGTTTAATAAAGCTATGATAGAACGCACCCAGTTTTGTTCCAAGTTACGTTGGCAGACGTTTGTACAATTAAGCGTGTGTCCACACAGCAAAAATCCATCGGTTAATTTTTCTGGTTTTGCGCAACTACGTGTAATCCTACGTGGCGACGTAACGTCATTCTGATCGTTGTTCTACCGGCCTAGCTCAGCGAAATGTGAGCGTTACCAAAACAATCCGTACCTGTATTTTGGGTTGAGATATTTCTGTTGCAAATAAACCCCTTCCCAGTACAAGCACACCTAAAATAGAAAGTCACTTTGACATGTGCTGTGCAGCCCCCACCCAAAATAGCCGTCTTCTGCGTTGCACCTGAAACGCTGCAATTTGGTTCAACGCTACAATTTGCGTGTGCCGGGCTTAATTGCCATCCAGATTTCTATCCTTTCTCACTTACACAGTCTCTTGGACGGTATAAGTAGCCTGGTGTATACGCGCCTTTTTATTTGTCGTTCAAAGTTGCCGACTTAAGCGTTATCGCCCTGCGTTTGTATGACGCCGAGCCCCCGCATGCCCCCCGTGAAGTATTTACGTCACTTTGCCCCATTATCATACCACTTCAAAAGAAACGCCGCCGTCTCCCGTGTGGCGATCTACGTGGATACTTTAAGTTAAAGGTGAACAACGCGCGTTAGCTCGTTATACTAGTATTTGGGAAGCTTAAGAAGGAAAAATTCCTGGAAATTGCAGCAGTTTTCTCTTTATCAAGATCAAGGGCGCACCTATCGCAGAGCGTACAGGGAATGATTATTTACTGTTTCAAGCTGCCCTTTTCTGAAAATCGAAGTCATCACTTACAAGTCGGCTTTTATATCGTTAATTTGTGGACGGTTTTGGATATGCTACCTGTGCACCTTAGTGAATATGGGAAAAGTGCTGAAATCGTCACGAAAATGAAAAAAACTTACATAAGTTATATGGTGTACTCTTTTAGGAGTAAAACAGGCTGCTTTGCACATTTACTTGACAGCTTATACGTAACAACTCACAGATTTCAAACGGCTTTACAATACTTATTTCAACTGACAAAAATAAAACCGGCTCTGTAGTAGTTGAGTTGACGTCCTCAGTGGCCTTCAGCTGATAATTATCAGAACATCTCCGACCTTACTGCTGTACCAACTGGAATGTAAGTGTCATAGAAGTGTCAGTAGATGTCCTAAAAATACGCCGCGGAATTCGCCCTCTTTACCTTTACTGGGAAGACGTACTAAGACCACGCTGGGGAATTCGCCCGCTTTACCTTTGAGTCGTGCTTAACATATATATATATATATCCTAGCCGTGACTGTGAAAGACAACATGTATAAATTACCATTTATACCTTGTCCCCGTCTGTTCTAAATGCCCGAGTGGAGAGAAAAAAATACGCAAAGAACACAATCACAAATAGGTGCAGGGATTATTCTCATGCCAAAGATTTACAAAATAAAAGAGTGATAGAAGACAGCGAAAGTGAAATATGGCGGGAGTTTCGGAGTGACGTGATTTAAGTTTTCAATGAACAGTTAAATTCTTATCTCCAACTTTAGGGTATCATAAATACCAACACTCTATATCATTAAATCCTTTCTAATCACATTCTCAAGGATTTCCGAAAGTCCCCGCAATCTTCTTAAGCCAATTTTAATTCATCATTTTATCTGTTTCGAGTGGATTTCATCATTGTGATATTATGCGTGTGTACATGTTATGTAATCTGAGAGACGACAAGGCTTGACAATCCCAACTGTAGAATGCTGTGACGAAAATTAAGAAGTTTCATACTCCGGTGTCGTGTTGGCTGTATGCTCCTCCGAGAGTGAGGTCGTTTCAGTGTTAAAGATATGCATACACGTTAAGACAAATGTTCAATATATCGTAGTTATGTCTTGTAGTAATAAAAATACAATAAAAAAACATTACAACCGTAGTCCGCTTCCCATTGCTTTGTACAGGTGACATTTCCTATATATTTATCCCATTACTCCGACTAACCCTAACCTGTACTAATCATATTGGGACCCTGGACTTCCATTCCTCAGACTACCATTCCTGTCACAACTGCCTCTATTATAAGTATGCCCTTGCTGTTTCACGTACTGATACATGTAAGAAATGTGCTTACACTGTCAACATACATATGAAACACAGTGTACTTTTAACAAAGTAATGATAAGTGTCCATTATATTTTCCTTTCGAACCAAATGCACGAGAGAGAGAGAGAGAGAGAGAGAGAGAGAGAGAGAATCGTCATTCGACCCACGTTAACGAATTATTTGTTGAGCGGAGACGCACGTGCCAGCGCCTAAATATTTCTCTCTACGAGCTAACAAAACATCTCGTGATCTTCTTAATACAGATATCTTTTATTAATGAGACTGCAGTCCGCATACAAGTCCCTCTTTGTAGATCATATATATAATGCCTGTCAAATGTGCAGCATGCTACTTAATTTGTATCACGTCACGTCTTAGCTTCTTAAACCCATATATAATCAGTAAACAAGACACCAAAGATGGTACTCGATTCACACAACTTATGCGCAAAATATGTATATGGCAAAAATCTTAATTGGTATCAAATATTGAATTTATTTTCTTTAAATAATCTTTCTGACTAACATTTGGCTGAATAAAACAGCAATAGTTCACAAAAAATGTGGCCAAATCTTTTTTTTTATTTTGGTGCTGCCATCTATCTAAAAGGTATCCATGACACTGCTGCCACCTATCCATTAATCTGCCTTTTTGGACTTCTTGACACTGCCAGCTATTCCAGCACCAGATTTCCTTTTATTTTTCTTATCACTCAAATCTTTCCCTGCAGGAGTGTCTTTAGCAAGCTTCTTTTGAGATTTGGGAGTTTTGACAGGAGTCATTTCCAGCTTTGGTGATTCAGCAGACTGTTTCATTTTCTTTTGTTGTCCTTTTGCATCTGGACTTTTAACTGTTTCTGTCACAACTGGCGCTGTAACTTTGGGTGATTTGCCCTTTGTCTCGACTTTATCAGCTTTATTTTTTTTACTTTTAGCCTGTGAAGATTTCACTTTTCTATCGGGAACCTCAATATTAGTTACTTTCTTTTCCTTTCTGTCCTTCTTTTTGCCAAGTCCATTCATCTTAGGAGCTGCGCTCTCAACTGATTTCTTATTTGTTACATTTTTGTCAACTTTCTTGGTCCCAGTGGTTTGAGCTTGGTCTTGTCCGCTTTTCTTTTTTACATTCTGTTTATCATTCTTGCCAACTTTACTCGAAGCACCTGTTGGTTTCGTACTCTTAACACTTTCTGATGCTTTCTTTTTCTTTTTTCCAACTGGTACATTTTCAGTTTCACTTTCACTTTCATCCTTCTCCTCTTCATCCTCCTCCTCCTCTTCACCATCATCACTCTCTTCATCCTCCTCCTCGTCTTCATCCTCCTCCTCCTCTTCACCATCTTCACTCTCTTCGTCCTCCTCATTATCATCCTGGTCTACCTCCATCTCTTCCTCATCCTCCTCATTTTCCTCTTCCTCTTCCTCACCCTTTTTATCTTCTGAAATTTCAAAGAACTTTTTAAAAAGTCCATAGAGGATCTGATATCAAATTTACGATTCATATTACGCACACATGTATATAGATGTACATGTATATCTGTGCACATTTGTGTGAATATGATAGTATAAAATCATGCTTAAATTTACAAAAGATGTCAGCACTACAAGACAAGCTCTTACCAAAGACAGGTTTCTTGTTCGAGAACTTCTTTAGCTTGGCCACAAAGAACCCATCCAAGTTATGGGTGTGTGGGTAGAAGCGACGGGTCAATTTCATGGTGGGGTGAAACCGATGTTGTTTGAATCTGCAAAGAACGAAATAAAAACAGAAATAAATATCTATGTTGTTTGGCATTTCAAAAATACTACATTCATGAGCCCTAGTAAAGAAAACCACCCCTTCATTTTTAGATTTATAACCAATTATTGCATATAAGGGAAAATTGCCATTTACAAATATCCAAATAAATTTATCTATTCTGCTTGCACTTACTGTGTAAATCCTTCTCTACCAAAGTCCAGACCAGTGGGGACAAGCTTGACGTTCCTCTTCTTCAGGGCGAAGTCAATCACCCACTCATTCTCTTCCACCTGCAAGGCAACAATGGCTATCAACATTCTGATGAAAATTGATCTGTGTGTAGTAGTGTTACTCATAAAGACAGAGTACATGTGTGTCTCCTTTCGAGTACCTAATAAGCTCTTCCGCCCAGTTCCTATACTCACCAATATGGAGCAGGTAGAGTAGGTTACGTAGCCGCCAGTCTTACTCTTGGCATCGCAGCAGTCAATGGCAGCCAAGATCAGCTGCTTCTGGATGTGCGAACACCGCTGAATGTCCTTCTCATCCTGAAAGGAAAAAAAAAAGATAAATTAAATCTTAAATAAAAACAAACAAATTGAAAGGTTTTAAGTCATTAGGGTATGCTTGCGACACAGGCACTACTGTTTACTGTAATGGAAGTTTTAAATTTGGCAGGACCAAGTGGAAAATGGTACAAGGGGCCCTAGTGCTTGACGTATGTAGCAAATGTATTGAAGGGCCCTAGAACCTCAATAGGTTAATGTTATATAGTGGCCCTCTAGGAGTTTCTGTGGCAGTTTTTATAAAGGGGTCATTGTTGGGGCCAAGGTGGTACATGATATATCAGGCTTATTATATATATTGTTGGGGCCAAGGTGGTACATGATATATCAGGCTTATTATATATATTGTTGGGGCCAAGGTGGTATATGATATATCAGGCTTATTATATATATTGTTAGGGCCAAGGTGGTATATGATATATCAAGCTTATTTCTAGTTATGGCAGTAGAAGTCCTATTACTCATATATATGTCTGTGTCGGCCTATTGTCACTACCATTTCAGACATAGTGCCAAGCCTTACCTTGCTGGCTTTGACAGCTGGGTCCTTCGCGATGACTCCCGTGCCACTACAAGGGGCGTCAAGGAGCACCCTGTCAAAGCCTGTGATGATCTGGAAAAAAAATAGTAAGCTTTGAAATCATCCTGTGAACTTCATGACTTTGTACAATCTCTTTAAAATTCCTACATGAAAATTTCTTTTGAGAAAATATCAGTAAGAAAATGGTATATTTTGACGAGAGAGAGAGAGTTGGTCAGTTTACCTCTGGGAACTTCCTTCCATCATGGGTGCAGACTATGGTATTGGAGATACCCATTCTGTGTATGTTCCCTACGATGGCTTTTGCCCTCTCCGCACTGGGGTCATTGGCAAAAAGCGTGCCTGTGTTTTTCATTAGGGCAGCTAGATAACAGGACAAAAAGAAATGTTATGGCTAAATTCCTGACAAGATAAAATACTGGACTAAAAGTGGTCTGAATTCTGTTTTAGACCATTAGCTGAAAACTGTAGA